GACAAGTGGGATATTCCATAGTATATCACAAGAGAGCATTGCATAACTATTTATTACCATGCATTATAATATAGATAGGACCCTGCGCACACTCTGATCGGTCAAAAACCATTGCTTTATCAGAGTATAAAACAAGGCATGTTTTATTGTTTTTCGGGACATTACCTCTATATCATAAAGCAAATGAAGAAGCCTAAGCTGTGTATTACATTGTGATAAAACACTCCGGACATCTGAGAACACTCGAGAAATGTAGAAAACACTCGCCTGTGGCTTGAGGGGAACGATAATGGGCAGACACAGCCCTAATCATATCTTTTAAACTGCCAGAGCTAAGGAAATGCAGAAATGAGAAGACTTAAACAACTTAGAAGTTCAAGGGTTGGCAAAACTCTTGCTCTTGCTCTTGCATTGCTCTTGCAGCCATTAAATCTTTTGTATAATGTATATCCGGACGTCCTAACTTGTCTCGACGAGATTATACTTAATCTATTTTATCTTATCTTTTACTAACTTATAATTTTTATTGTATATATACATATTGTAATTATTTATTACGTGCTTTTATTATGTTATTTTAAACTCCTAGTATAGTTCCACTGTTTAAGGAGTATACTTATTAAAGATTAAAGATTAAAGAAAGCGTACAACTTTAATTGAAGGAATAAGTGGAACGGGGAACATCTGTGAGGGAAACGTAAGTTACCAGAAAACTTGCAAATAATTTAACATACCCCAGGAAAAAAAAAACCCAAAAACATTGATTTATTGTCCCCCTGTCTGAGTTCAGAGTCAATCTCCGAAAAAGAGATTTAACATGAAAAGTTGTTATGTAACTGCAAACACATGATATTAATTAATGAGAAAAATTAATCATTGCATTTGGAAAATTTACACTAAATTAATAATACATGCCAAAGATCCATAGTTTTAACAACAACAGATAAGTTGTGACAATGGTTGCAAGGCCTTAATGAGGCTTCCAGAAAATTTCTTTTAACTCGCGAGGCTCATATCTTGAGATGTACACCTTGAGCAATTTGTTTGCAACTAAAGAAACCGGAAATGGCTCAACTTTGACATAGCCAGCCACCATATCAATTACACAAACGATTTACGTCTCTCTGTCTCTCTGTTTTGGGACCTCTGCACTGGGCTGTGCTGAGGCACGTTTGTAAAAAGGAGACAAAGGGAGACACAAAGATTCTCAGAGATTACAGAAATCTTACCCCTTCCTTATCCTTTACGAAGTAACTTCCACTGGAACCTTGGTAAATTCGTTCTGGCAAAATTCCCACATCAATAGCTTGTTCGGCGGAGTGAATTATCCCAGTAAACTCTGGATCATCAAAGTGGTTTCCCTGGTATTCAGTGTCACTGTGACTGTCCATTCGTGATCGAGATCTGCCAAGTAAGGGTCTTTGTTCAGAAGTTCTATTATCGTAATGTGAGCCGCCAACGATGGCTGTACTGTAGCTCGCCGGGTCGGCGTGATACGGCACTACATCGGGCCCATTTAGGCGGCCGTCTGAGACGAAATCAATCAGTGGACGCCCTCCTTCGTTACTTGACATCTAAATCTTTAATTCGAAAGCCCTGTTTAGAGATTTTCCAATCGTTTTCAGAGCATTTCATTCGTAGAAATCGCCGTTAGACGTCCTATTTTGGTTTCTTACATTGTCATGATTTCATCTCATGACGCGCATGGTTTATTGTAGCTTTTAGGGCTGCCGCTGACTGGTTCACGGAAGTGATTGCTCTTTCGATTTCGCTTTCCTGTCAAATGTTTTCCAGCAAATATTGTTTCCTAAGAGACAAAATTAACCCAATTCTTGAAAAAACTTAAGCAGTTGACGCTTCTGTGCGAGGGAAGCAAATTTCTATAGCTGGTACAATATTACTGTACATGTGCTTGTTTTAACACAATCACTGCCTCCACTAAACTTGAGCCGCTATATATGCCAACGTGGTCAGACATTTTAAAGAGGCTCCCCGCATGTTTATAAAAACGTTTCAGTCTAACATTTTATTTTCAAGATATCTTAACCCGAATTTCTCCTCCATAAATTTGCCATTGCTAATTAAATTCCAAAAACCCTCCTGGCAAACGTTACCACCTTACAAAAATTACCGCTAGCAGCAAACGTGGCGAAAACCGGTTGCGCACAGATTACAGGATGATTTACTCTTCCTGATATTAAGTCCAAACAGACGCTGAAAGTTTTCAGCACAGACCACAATGAACTTACCTCCCCTCCGACAAGCCTCAAGGAATTTTTCTGCAGTTTTGCCGGCGTCTGTATTAAATACGACGTTTTGTTGCGGCGTCCGTGAGTGGAAAAACAATTGTCAGTCGTTTATGTAAATAATTGCCCAGTTGGCCATTGAAATGCAAAGCACCTTGCAAACCTTGCCTGCTCATATGTGACAATTGGAATAATTTGTGTTTAGAATTGGCTTCGCTTCTAGTAATCTGAAGGTACAACTTTGAACTAGGATCGACTTTAACTCAGCTGACCCTCCAAAAACTTAATCTACATTTTGAACTGAGCTGTTTGGATATGCACGCGCAATATTCCGGCTTCCATTACGTCTGCAGTCGTTAAATTGAACTGAAACAAGATATATTTCATACTACCAGGCGAATAAAAACGTAAAACAGCCGACTATAACACCTATAACAATACTCGAATTAATCGGAATGAAAGCTGAAATTAACGAGAGGCATTTGATTTGGCGCCCTGATTTTTTAGTTTTACTTTTCAGCTGTTGTTTTTTTTTTTGTCAAGTTTTTGAAATGAAATGAACAGCCAATACTGGTAATATTGCTTGTAGTGTAGGCGTGCTCGAGGCCCCCATAAGCTGTATCAAGGAACGAAAGAAAAATGTAAAAGATACTTTTCTCTATCTTAGTAGATAATCTTTAATTGATGACGTTATGAAAAAATTGAAATAGGGGAACAATTACTCCATAGTATTTAAACCATCCGATAGTTAGAGAAGATGTTAGTCCAGTTTATATTGTAGGATATGCATATGCCTAAATTTATTCCCTGAATGTCAGTGGTGATCAATATCAGTCAGGGAATGAATGAATGAATCGTTTCCGTATTCATGGGCAGGTAGCTAGTACGTCCATTCGTTTTGAATACCTATGTAGGCTCTAGGGTAAAATAGAGGTTCTTGTTGTTGCAAAATCGCAGTTTTAATTCCCTTTTTTCGTAATCTTTCATCATATACATTTTTATGTCATAGAAACTTAATTAGAATAAGTAATACAAACGTTAAAATCACATAATTTATAATGTTGAGAAAACTTCCTTGGAAAGATTGCTTCCTTGGTGTCTAACATTCTGTCTCAGACATTTAAGTCAATCCCCGACCCTCCCAAGTGCCACATACCCTTGCAGGTCCCCGTGCATATACGGTTAAATACGAGAGTATCTCCCCCTCCCTTGGTTTTTTAACTCTGTTATAGAGAACCTTACAATACAGTGCAATAACAGTGTGTTTAAATTGACGTATGATGCAGATTCATCTCATCGCTAGCTATGGTAGGGAGCTGACGTCTGCTTATTACTGTCCAATACATTTATACAGCCATGACTCGTACATTTCTGTCTAATAAATACTGGAAGGACGTGCTAATAAACCATCGAATTCGTGAGTTTTGAAATATATAGACGTGATTTGCAAAAAATAAAATCTTTTATCGCAACTAGCGGAATTTAAGAATTAGTTGTTTACATGTAGGTCAACTCTGAATATCGTCATCTTCATCACTATCGTCACCATCATCACCATCATCCCGTGAAGCAATCTCGTGATAAATGTAGGGGTACATTTGACATTCACAACACGATCTTATCTCCTGAGTGTATTGCTCCCAGACTTCACTATACACAGTTTTTCCCGTAAGGGTGCTCAGCTGCCTGTCGAGCTCAAACCTGCCGGAAAATCGCAAGAACGACAGCTGAAGTGTCCGCTGCAAGCAAATTCCCATTTTTGCTGCACATTGGCGGTCTTTGTCACGACAAATCACTTCGTTGATGAAATTCGGAAATCGGTCGTCGCCCAGCCGAGTGGTAGCCGCACATTCGGTGCATAACCGATGTAGATTTGAGCCGTCTGGTATCGTACCCCGCCCTTGACACCCACGGATTCGCGTACCTGGAGACGTGGGAAAGCTCCTTTTCATACGTTGTAACTTGAAGTCGTATTCCGCTTGATCAGATCGCCGCTGGTCACCGCTATGAATAAGACGCTTCGTACTCGCTGGCGTTTTGACTTCGGGAGTTTTCGTAGGCTTAGTCGTGAGTTCGGAGCTCTTCGCTTCAGCTTCACGCGATAACGTTGTCAGTTCTTCAAAGCCACAGGCGTCGGTCTCATTAATAGCTGTGTATCGTTTGATAAATCCTCCAACAGACTCTAACTGTACCAGCAGTTCTTGTTTAGTCCTACGCAAGCACACTGTGGCGCCAAGTTCATCTTGGACGCGAGAGACCTTTGTGTGGTTAAGGCAAATTTCCGGACTTGTCGTCGAAGGAACAGTTACTTTTGTAGTAGGTCTAACAAATGGTAGCGAAGGTTTTGCTGTACCTATTTTCCACGGGCGTCTATATCTTGATCGTCTTGTCCTTCTAGTAGTCCACCCTCTATATACCTGATGTCGTTTAAAAAGTTCTCGTAGAAAACTCGGATCTCGGTTGGTATCTTGGCTGCCATCATCTTCAACTGCCTGTGAGTAATACCCCTGCGCTATAAGAATAGACGTAAGCAGTAGAACCAAGGGCGCTAGTATTGTTTTCGTCTGAAACACAACAGAGTTCAATATTAGTAAAAGAAAAAAAAAACTTTATATTAGGCTATTTAGGTGCAACTAGAAATCTTTTTCCTGCCTGAATGTCAGGAAGCAGAGCCAGAGACGACAAGCAAGGGCTTATGACTTTTATCTGAGTCAAGAACAAAAGGCCATATAAATCTACACAAGCTATAAATTGGCTCGAATGAGTAAAGGAACTGGCGTTTATTCGGCTTTCAATAATGAATGATTGTGTTAGTGATCGCTTAATACTGTAAAATGACATCATAATCAGCGGCGCTAGGGATCGTCGCACGTCAGACGCAATTCGTCGATGACATCAATGAAAACAATAAGTAATCAATGGGTAATCGATGGGTTATCAGCTGATTAATTAGTCAATGATTATTGCCGATGATCAATGAGTAATCGATGAATAATCGATAGGCCACATTGATTACATCGATTTTTCATTAAGAGATTAGTCATCGATATAATCACGGTCAACACAAACCAGACCAAATCGAAAATATATATAGAAAAATAACGTCCTCAAGGAATAACGACGGCATCTGAAGCATCAGACACGTTTACTTCGGGAACCCGCTGGCGCTTGATGTTTAACCAGAATTTGACGTCCCGACAAGTACATTTCCCCTTCCCCAATTTTTATCGTCGCGAACCATTCACGCAAAGATTTATACAAATGTGCAACATAATAATGCATGTGTAATTAACGAGTAATCAATGGTTAATCAATAGGCAATCAATTGGTAATCAGTAGCATCAATTAATAACCAGTGACCTAGAAAGATGAGTAGTGGTGCCATCAATGAGTAATCGACAGGCACAAAGGTTTTGGCCATCAATTAGTCATCGATTGTTCATTGATCATCGGCAATAATCAATGACTAATTAGTTGATTACTTATTGATTACCCATCGATTACTCCTCGATGTCATTGATATCGATTAGTTACGTCTGAGGTGGCACGCGACAGTGTCAGGCCTTAACGTGTGTCGCGATATAGAGCAAACTAAGGAAATCTACTACTCCACGGGGGGAATGAGGGCACTTCCGTACATATGCTTTATAGATAAGTGTCGCTGTGAAGGGTATGGCTTTTAGGCAGTTAAGTCTGTGACAGAGTATAAAAATCAGAGAAGTGGCCAGTGTATAAATAATTTTTTCTAGAGCAGGGTTCTCTACCCAGGATTCTATAATAGAAATTGAAAATCGGAAGTGACGTTGTAAGATATTGGTTTAATCAGTTAGTGTATGTTGGACTACAATCGTGATAAAGTTTCCGCATGAAAAATAGCTAGTCTGGGATGGGGTAGTGGTTTTGGCGCCTAGTCTAGAATAGAGTTGCAAAATCAAGCTGATCATGGTCTAGTATAGGGCAAGGCTCTCAGTGTCCCAGCGGCACACCCCACCAAAAGATTTACAGAGTACCACCCCCGCGAAGTTTACCAAGCGAATTAGCTAAAGGAACAAGACCGGATGTTATAAGTATGGCTCAGAGTGGAGAAATACCTTCATTGTGCAGCGATATCAGCTCGCTAAGCAAGACAGTCAGGTTTTCTCAAGCAGGTTTTCTGTTTTCTTTAGGTATTGGGATGTTAGGTCAAATCACCATAAATATGATCACTGCATATATAAAAACCAACAGAAGGTCAATTGAGAGTAAAACTATTGAGTGAGCAGTATTATTAACTATTACAAGGAGTAATAGGCTAACATTAAAACAATGTTAAGTCAATTAACGACGTACAGAGCTTTCTAAATGTGTTGTGACCTTAACGAATCGTTTATTGGGTGGTAAATTTGCACCACTCCGTATCTGAGTTTTTTTACTAAGTTTGACCATTTTTGAGAAACATGTTACAGAATCTAAATTTAAAACAGTCTGGGTCATTTTCTAGACAAACATATGCTATCTTAACATGGTGTCAGTCTGTCCTCGCCATACTACCATCAAAGGATATACTATGTGGATTTCTTGTCTAGTGATTTTAAAAATAAAACTATGGATAAAAGAAAAAGTTGTCAAACTATCTTAGGGTGCTTTTCAATTGAGTGTGGAAGGTAATCAGGCAATTACTTTGGTTTGGTTTTGGTTTTACTGCGGTTTGAAGTTGGCCGAGTAGTCTAATTGGTAAGTAATTGATTTGGTTTTGGTTTTACGACACTCAGCTGAAAACCGCTCTAAAGGGCAATTTAAACGTGTTAGTGAAGTCCGAGGTTCCTAATTTTACATGTTCACTAAGCTCTGAAATTAAGGTTTTTGTCCCAGTGAATCAATCTTACTACGTTCTTGTG